ATTCACACTCTGAACAAAGCCAGTAGCATCTAAGCATTAAAGCTCTGTGATTTGGTGTGAGAGAGGAACCTCTGAGGCAGGAAGGAAGGAGCATGGTCTGCATGGTTCCAGTCACAGCTGTGGTTGGTTGAAGGTTTGGATCCTTTCTTCTGGGCTGAACTTGGTGAATGTAGGATCTGACTAACTGGACTAATCTGTGGTCTGACTTCATCTCTTCCTCTCTTATACCTGTGCTCCTCTTCCTCATTCAGGAGGACAGTGAGAAGTTCTCGCGTTCTTCCCGGATCCACGCGGTTCGTATCCTTGGTTCCGTCCCTCTGTGGTCTAGCAGCTGCAGTAGTTGAACTTTCTCCGGGTTTTAAGCGTTGCTGTTGTTTGGGTTCAGAACCGGCCCGTGGATCGCTGAACCCTTCCTGCTCACTAACTGGCCTTCTCCTCTCCCCGCAGCTTTCCGATGACGATGAGCGGATGTCGGTGGGAAGCCGCAGTAGCGTCCGGGTCAGTATCCATCCAACCGTTGCTTCTGAGTTCTGGTTCTGATCCACAGAGCCAGACGGACCTTCTGTCTGTTCATGAAGCTGTGTTTCCTCCCTCAGTCGGACCTGGACTCTGTGGGGGTCTACGGTGGAGGGGTGAGCCTTTATGTTTGCTGATGGGTCATAGTGAACATGGTTCCGGTCCGGTTCTCTCTGAGCAGGACCGGTACCCTGCATGTGGTCTGACTCGGCGTGTGGACTAACCCGGGTCCGGTGGTTCTGCCGTCCTCTGTGTCTCCCAGGGTTCCGCTCTGCACCACAAATCAAAGAAGAAGAAGAAGCATAGGCACAAGGACAGGACTGTATGTGTGAGTGATCGGGTCGGGTCGGGCCGGTCCTGTAGCGGTTCTGGGGGCCGTCTCATCGGTGTGCTTGTTGTTCACAGAGACATGGTGTCAGCGATGATGGCGGCGAGCTCTCCAGCAGGGTCAGTAGCTGCGTGACCCGCTAACCCCTGGACCGGACCAGTGGTTCTGATCCGCAGATTTATAGGACCGGACCAGTGGTTCTGATCCGCAGATTTA